ACCAGTCAGAAATGGGACACCTGATAGCAGAACGGAAACACAGTAATTGTAGTGGTAATGAAGGAACGATGAGTTTTGAGACAACTGAAGGGATATTTGCAAATGAATTATTTTATTTGGGGTTCTTACATTTTAGCAAGGTACTCTGTGATCTCATCTTAAAATACACTAGTTGTTCCTAACTTTCTTCTCATTCATCACATAACTACCTGCCTATTTTCTGTTTTTTCGTTTTGTATTTGTTGCTTGCAACCGGGAGTAGTGTGTGGTTTATTTTTTTCTCTTGGTACACTTGTTTGAAACTATCTACAGAGAAATGCATCAATAGTGTGAAGACATGTAGATCTTGTAAAGATGACGTGACATAAGATCTACCTCAAGGTGTTTCCGTGGATCTTTATGCTTAACTGTGGTTTTTATTGGGATCGTTAAAAATAAGCTCTTCAGTTAATGATCGCATTCAAACTTTTATTTTTAGAGCACAAACGATTGTGTAAACGTTTACTGTGGTAAATTACTTCACTTAGTAGTTGAATGACAGTACTATCACAGAAATGACTTATTGATGAATATAAACCAGAATGTTAGTTTTGTGCTAAAGGCTTTTGCTTTTAAAGATTCCCAGCATTTTATGATTGAAATGAACCACCGTAAGTAATAATATTTTATACAGGTATGCTATTTGAAGTTATTTTATGATTTTCTACAATAATTAGAAAAGTGACAAAATTAACAGATGATGGGGGTTGTTGAGGAGTCGATTGGATTTTTCCATTTGTAAGCGTAATTTCTACGCTGGGAATCAATATCAAATTAGTTAACTCTATAGTTCATTGCTCCTGAATTGGTCATTACTTATAGCTTAAATAGAGCTAAAAGCGAAATGGATATATCGTAACCAACGATTCCATAGAATAATTCTCAGTAATCTTTTAGCAGTTTGAATCACGAGTCGATCTAAACTGGACTACCATTTAAGACTCGGAAGCACTGGAAGGCCGTTTCGTTCTAGTATGGGACTGTAGTGTAGGATGCTATGTCAAGCCCATATAGCTTATGCCAGCTTCCGTACAGGACAATTTATTCATCTTTCTTGAATCACATTTTGCCCTTGTTAATTATCCACTTAACAACCTTGACAGTTTTTATATAGGCGTATATGTGTGCACTTCTTATCCTACTGTTATATGTATGTAACTTATATTTGTGACTCTAAATATCGGTTCACGCTTGGTTGAATCGAGCTGGCACACGCGCCTTCTCCACCGTGCACAATTTCGCTCACTTTTCTCCACTCGTTTGTCTGGATCAACGATTGTATGAAATATGTCCATTCTCGTACTCGACTTATTTAATTCAGTTATTCACTAACGCAAGTTAAGTCGATAATTTTATACGAGGATTGGCGATATGTCTATTTCGATAGCAATCAACATACGATCAAATTGGAGTCAGATATTCAGGGCCACTAAAGGACTACTCAGCAGTGCAAACACAGTTCCATCATATTCGTTATATTTATACTAGTTGACTGAGAATAAATGAATTAAGAACTAGAATACTGATATTCATGAATGTATATGTAAGTACTTGAATTGACTTGCTTGTACGGCAGTAAGAAACAATCGAAGTAAAGTATGACTGAGTGTACACAAATGGACTGGGGAAATAGTAATATTTGGGTAACATCATGATTAGACCTCTTTTCAATTTGCTTGAATGTCACTAGCATTTAGAATCACCAGTAACTGTACTACAGTGGAAATAATGAATTGAATTGTAGTAATGCATTTGGCAGTTACATGACCAATACGATATTATACACAGAAATGAAAATAAATTTGTGCACGTGTGTCTGTATTATACACCATAGTTTTTCTGATAACAACGTTGCAATGTTTACTTCTAAACACATTGTTTCACTACACAGTACGTTATTTCCCATTCTATAAAAAGCTATTCCGTGGGATCATGTTATGTCCTTTGGAAAGCTCAATATACTAATGCAACTGCATCTTTTGCTCTTGCTTGACAGACATTGACCAAAGAATTGCAAACCGATGTCAAATATTTAGTAATATTGTAGTGAACGAGAACACTAATGAGTGCAATCGAACGTCCTTGAACACAAATTACAGAATATATAAGTAAAATCTGAGAACCATACAGTAAATTCTTCATTTGCAAAATGTCCCAGACATTACTATTCCTTTGTTTTAACACCAACCACTCTATATTCTCTTTTATTTGATCTGCTTAACCTTCCGCCGTCAGACATTACACTTCCGACTGATGGTGCATACAACTTACATCTGTTGACATCAGTAGCACACACCACAATATGACGTCTGTCTCGGGGATTAAAGCGGATACACTACTTTTAAACGAGGTTACGCATTTTCTATCCACTGAAGGCGTTATTAAACTGTCAGTCATCCTAGACAGCAACAATCTGAGTCGTTACATACTACGACGCAGATGTAGTGTAATATGAATTCTCAGTATAGCAAATTATCCAGATAACGTTAACACTAAGTAACATGAATTTCACTGTCTCCGAATAGTTTTACTATACACTATAAGCTTGTCACATATGGTATCACATAAATGTCATAATCATCCATGCGCGTTATTAATACCTTCCCACATTGTTGGTAATATGAAAATCAGTAATTAGGGATTATTGAACATTTTTAATACAAAACGTACTCTCGATCGCACATAATCGTGAAATATGTTCATATGATTCAGTTTTCTAGATGGTCGTCTGAGTATCTGTATAGCTAAGGTAAACACACATTTTATTAGTAAAAACAATTAGCTATACAAGCATATTTTACTGGAATCGGCATTCTTACTAAGATAGGTCACAGGTAAACAAACTGCTTTATATGTGGACGTCATTATTATTAGCTTTATTCAATATTAAATTTTTAGTCTAACATAGAATTCTCAGCGCGAATTATTCCAAAGTGTTCACCAGTCAGATTCTAATAGTTCAGAAAACATCTGAATGATGTGCATTCTTCTCGATGGATATTGCCAGCAACTACGATGTGTCTGATTGAGCTTTTTGTAACTTGTACAGTCTAAATTCGTAAAATCTTCACAAACGCACCTGAATAGGTTATGTGATTAGTAGACATGATCTGTTCAAAAAGCCGATGACTTTTTGAATTATCTTGATGCCAGAAACAGGTAGTAGATATTCAAGCAGGCCGACGTCATGAGTACATGTCATCCGCAGTTTTTAGAATTATGATTTCCTTTAGTTGAAATGCAGAGCAAAAGCATGCGATACACATGGCTATATATCGTTCGGCGTTTTCTGGAATATACAGGTCTCCTAAAGGCACACATATTAGCAAGTTAGGCTAGCCTACAAACACGCCACCGACGTGAGGCAGTTCAAGTATGGGATGACCGCCTTTAGGTACACCGCTCAAGGTCGCTGAACCGGAGGGGTAATTTGAATTTCAAGCTAGCTTTTGTCTAATTTGTAAGCATGTTTTGGTTAAATAAGTATTTGGAGCACAACGCGTCTTTTATATACAAAGATGAACTACAAATACAGATTTTAAGTAATTTTTAAATTTAAGTGCATTTTTTGGCAGAACTATGTTAAAAAAGCTAATTAAGTACAGAATAATAAAATAACATACTTCTCTATAATTTATTGTTCAGATGAAGTTCTAATATACATAAAGATAACTAATTGATTTTACACTCAAATCACTTATACACAATGTGTGTTATGGGAACATCTTAATGTAGAGTTGAGGTGTAAATACTCGAAAAATTTAATAAAAATAGATCTTATAACTATAATAACTTGTTATTCCCACTCGCTACAAAGCTCATCAGACTGTTCCACTAGCACTAAATTTTCATTGCGTAACATGTTAGACATAAAAATATCTCCTTGCATGAATCGCTTTTCATCAAGTTATAAACAAGCTGAAGCATATACTTATTACTGCAGTGCTTTCGGTTAGATTTCACTATATTTAAAATCTTAGTAAGTGCATGGACTAAATCGCGACATTAAGGATCACCGTTGAACAATCAGTGGGATTGAATTCGTTACTATACACTAACTTCTTTGATTATGAGAAAGCGCTGACAATGTTAATTTAATCAAAATAGATATGAGGTTACTTTATGCACAATTAAAGCGAACTAAATGACAGACGAGGTTAATACCACGAGAAACATAATAGATTCCGTTTATTTCTCTCAGAAATATGGACGATTCAAGTCGATTGAGACCTATCGAAGCTGGAACTTAAATATATGCCAAGACAATCTTTGTTTGCAAAAATAATTTTCTATGATAGATGTATGGATTAAGTGCCAAATTACGGATAGAAAATATAAAGAATAAATTACAAACCTATATAGTCAAATAGCATCTATCTTGAAAAATACAGAAATTCCAAGTGGCATAATACCCAAAAATTAAAATATTAAGCACCAAGCTGTCACACATCCTATATCACATAGTAATTAAGCGAGTTCATCGAAGGATTTGAGCACATTATCAAACTTATGCAGACTTGAACTATTTTGCATAATTTCAAGAGGCATTGCACATTGATAGAGAAATATGGAATTAATCATAAGTCAATTTTTTGGGCAGAATAAAAGTACTGACAAAATTCAGGAATCAAGGATAATACATAATCGCCACGTCAAATAAGACCGTCATTTCTTGACGGTCTGATGGAAGCTAATACTAAATCAGGTAGGCAAAACTGTTGGTGAATAAAGAATTGATAGAACGCTAAAGTAAATAGGCATGCTTAGTGTCTAACTTCAATCGATTCATGATTTTGCGCAACCCTTCATCAATTGTCTGAGGTGGATAACTATCACCATCCGACACAGATGGGACTCCACTGGTCACGGCTTCCCACTAGAACTGGACATTAGCACCGTTGGATGCCAGCTCAGTGGTCTAGACGTTAAGCATTCGCACGCGAGACCGAAAGCCCTAGATTCGAGTCCCGCGTGCGGGATCGTGGATGCGCACTGCTCAGGAGTCCCATACTTGGAAGAAACGGCCGTCTAGTGCTTCGAGGTTTTCAATGTTTGTCTAGTTTAGATCGACTAAAAAATCCAACTATTAAAATTACTACAATGTTCACAAATCCTCATTCTGATAAAGAATAATTCACGAGAAATCTATCATCTAGCCATCAGTGGTCAAAAGTAAAAACATTCAAATGATTTGTTTAGATACTATCGAATAACTTAGGTAAGCAAGACAGAACTACATTAATATTATTGTGGAATAATCCGCAAGATTCATTCAGCTGAGGAAAATCAAAATGATGGTAATCCTGAACAAAGCAATTCTGTTCAAGTTTGATATATGGGCTATAATTTAGTATCATACTATGCAATGCTAACCGACAGACAGGCAAAAACAAACTAGCACCTGGAAAAAACGTTACCAGTATAATGGAGTCTCACAAAAAAGAATAGGTTGTGTCAAAATAAAAAATACAAAATGACATTATGTTCAAAAGCTAGATGTCAAAGAAGAGAATCGTCAGCTCCAGTGCAACCAATTTCGAAGAAATCAATGTTTTCACATAAGAATTTATAAAAATTCCTTGGAACTACAATACATAAAAACCGAAACTTTAACCTACGTAAGAACTAACTCCTCATAACTATGTCAGTAATTTGATTATGATCAAGAATCAGGAAACTGCTTAAATTCCTATTGTTACGTCTTTCGGAAACAAAAGTTATGACATGTGTATGAACATAGAAGTAGAATTATAAGAATGTTTGAGACTAAAATCTTTTTTATAAGTAAGTTAACAGTATAAATATATGTCGACAAAAAAGTCAAGAGATCGTGCTGTTTCGTTTGGCAATGAATGCTTATACCCAAGTAATCAGTGAAATAGACAAGATACAACAAGCTTTTGAGGTGTAAGTGCTTTCTATTGAGGAGTTAGCTCTAATTCCATGCGTTGAAGCCCATAATTTTCTGTAACTGTGAGTCAACTGATGCCTAGTAGAGATAAAGAAAACTTATTCCCAGCAAAAGAAACCATACCATTTGAGAAAGAGCATCGCTTAATTGTTTTTCAGCTTTTGTGGTATCCTAAAATGAAATATATTGTACCAAATTCCCAATCCTACGATATCAATCCCCATGTACTGGTCTACACGATTAGATAATATTGCCTTTCGTTCTTTGATTTCCTCAATTTCCTAATAAGAAGGACTGGTAAAGTGAATAGACAAATAGAACACACTTTCTTCCATGACATCAGAAGGCGCTGATCAGGTGCTTTTTCAACGGATGACAATAACTCCTATCAGTAACAAAAATGTCCAATTAGTAAAGCAACTTACACTTAATTGACGATCTGATTCACTAAGGGATTTCGACAAATTTAAATACTTTTCTTTAATATGCTGCATGGAGCGCATATCTGACAGCACGCTTTCTTGAGAGAGACGCCAATCACTAGAAAACCTATGAAGAACAAAATAATACATTCAGTTTGAAATTACGATTTATTTGTTTTCGAAACACGAAGTCAATCTGAAGGTAGTAATTACAAAATTCACTATAATTTCAAACATTGCCCGGTCTTTTTCATGAGTGTTTTTCCATATGACGTTTTCATGAACATATACGAATGCTATTAACTAAGTATGTGTTTTTATGTTTAAAATGATATACTTAGTTACGAAACAAGGAAATGTTCATTGCATGATCCCTCAATGGGACGAATTAGTCCAGTAACATAATTCTGATATTAGATAATAAAACGTGCTTCATAAAAAACAAAGAGCAGAAATAATGAATAAAAACCTAGAAATTTACAGAAACATAGGATGACCAGCCTTGCTATCTGATTAATATTACAGTGAATATGGTCAACAAAAAATAAATATTATCAAAATACCTTAAGATTACACACACTTGTATAAAAAAGTTTTTGTTCAATCAAAAAATCAGACAACCATGTAACGCAACAGTTACGGGTGGTTAGCGCAAACAGATATGATACCGAAAATACTTATAAAAACGGACACAATAATCTACCAATGTAGTTAATCATAGTAAATTCAACAATCTTACATGGGTTACATTTAATTAGAAGACGAAATTCAAGAAGCAAATTATGTGGGTAACCAAAGACTATGGTGGGGATTCATACAATGCAAGCTGGAGAGAAAGTATTACAATCGGGGAGAGGTGTTGCTGTACTCCGGTCATGAAGAAAAAAATGCTTTGCACACACAAGGAGTTGCACTGATGCTCTACAGAGAAGCATGAAAACCACTTATAAGATGGGAATCTCATGAGTCCAGAATCATCAAAGCAACCTTCAGAACAAAGAATATTATCCAGTATTATGCATCCACCAATGATAATAACGACGACGATAAAGACTAGTGCTGTGGGGGGGAACAAATCAACTTCCAGATGAAGAAGCAATTAGGAAAAGACGCTCAAGGTGGGTAAGATATACATTGCGGAAATCCTCAAACTGCACTGACTTGGAATCCTAACGGTAACAGGCAAATTGAGAAAACCAAAGAACATATTGCGTCGGGAATTGGAGACAGGTATAAAAAAATGAATGGCGATTGGAAACAGCTGGAAGGGAGAGAACAAGACAGAATTGGTTGGAGAATCCTGGTCGGAAGCTTACCCCCCTCCACGGAAGGGGATACAGACGTAATTTCTACGTTATGATTGACTGAATTCGTGCTACTCAAGCGTAACAATATACTGAGTTCATCAAAGCGTCCAGCTTTTTTCAAATTTATCTACTATTCCACCCACCGAGACTTTGGTTGGTGTAAACAAGACTGATTCTATTCTTTAATTGAGCTGTATTACTTAATTTCCCCCCTTAAACGTGATGTCTATGAAGTCTATATATTGATAGTCATCGGTTAGCAAGACTCGTAGTAGCAGTTTAAAAATACTAGCAAAAAATTTGAGATCCATCCCCTAAACATAACTTAGAGTAGTGAGTTTGTGAAAGAAATCGCAATTTAGGACAACCCAGAGTAAAAAATCAGTCTATGCCAGTCCAAACAGGAAACCTAGAGAATACGTACTTAACAAATACTTTTGTTGGGAAAGTCCAATCAATAGATTTTGATTGAGATCTGAGAACTACGAGTAACAATATTTATTGACCATGAAGCATTTAAATAAACTTAGGACCTTCTTGTTTAGTTGAATTACAATGATTCTTACTTTTTATAAGCGCTTGGATAATCAACAATCTAAATCAAGCTAAAGAAATCCTGCTTGCTTTACTGATTTCAATTAAAACAATAATCACGTAAACCAGTATTTCTCGTGACGCGTAATAATTAGCCGGAACGAATGAGCTGATATCCACTGAGGTTTATTGATGTTAAAGGAGAAAGAATGTAGTTGTAAAATCACAGCGAATGAATTTGAAGTAAATCCAATGTTCCGCTTGGCACTCTGCTCCAAGCTTTTTCAAGGAAAGATAATCATACACCAAAATTACCGAATATGAATAAGTTCTCTTGTTGACTGTTTATTAAACAGGTCATCCAATCCCATCCATAGTAACGTTGGATTTACTTCAAATTCTTCGCGAAATTTTACAAATACATTCTTCCTCCCTAATGTTTAACATGAACTCAGCGTCAAATACTGTGAAACTATTCGGTCAAATTTAGACGAACATACTGACTTGATATGTAAATTGAATTCAGCAGTCAATATCAGTTATTAGCAAATATGACTTCAAAAACCATATAAAAAGGGTTAAATGTAGCTCTGAACAAAACAGATATCCAGGATGTCCATTGACAAAAGACGCTTGAAGGTTTGGAAATAAGGATAATTGAGATATAATAAAACTTAGTTGTACTAGATATTTCTCAAATTAACGGGTTATTTTACGCAAAATAATCTACCTTATTAAATTCCTTTCCATCGCATCGACCTCCATAATAATTGTCCTTAATGAATTGTATGAATTCTCTAAAGAGGTAACCAATGTTTCTAAGTTATCCTGGTATTCTTTGGATGCAAGAACACGATTTTTGATGCTGGATAATATATACGGAACAAACAGATACCTGTGGATAGAACAACTACGACAATCGATTGCTGAAAGTCGCAATGCTAATTGGTTTACTTTGTGACGGATGTCATTATTAGGTTTAGAACCCAGTCTAGCGTGGAACCTATCCAACAGAGTTGAGAGGCGAGTTTCTGGAATGGCAGCATAGATATTTCAAAAACTACAAACCATCAGTAGAAAATTCATCTCTAACTTTCTTTTCCATCAAGTCAATGGCCTCGTGAGAGTTTCTGTGAATCGCTTTGAATTCATCATCAGAAGCATCCAGCACATTTTTAAATTTGCAGAATAATCCCCCATGAATGTATTTTGGATTCTGAAAGGGGTATAAAATAGTGAGCATGTACCTCGTGATCCGAATCCCGCCGCATTTCCAAGGAACGAATTCAAACCTTTTAAAACAGATGCTGATAGTTCGTAGTCGAAATGGATTCAAGGATACCTGACGATAACCAAACTAGAGAAAATAGGAAGCAGACTAATCAGAAAACAATGCGAGCGGATAAACATGATAACCCTAAAACAGACTGTAAACAAATTTCGAAAACACTTGTAGGGGACTTAAGTAACCGGAAGCAAATACTCCAACTGGGCATTATAATTCATGGGAAAACCGAACGTCAAAGTTGACAGCACCATTGGTGCTCTCACAGAAAGCGACGGGCTTAACAGGAAACTTGGTTAATAAACATTGATAGTATGTAATCGCGTATTCTTATGGACGGTGGAGAATGTCATACTCAGATTCCTATCAAAATATAAACGCCTCACGTAATTGAGCAAGTAAAGTGATCGAGGGACTTTCGTCACTATCAACTAAAAAGTGGGAACAATTTGCTTTAAAATAGTTGAAATTAATAGAAATATCCACCATGCAAGCGAAAAGCGAATTTGAGATAGTCCTTAAGCTAAATTGAAGAACATATGTGCTCCTAACGCAGATTGCTTATTAAAGTGCTTGATTTAAGTCAATGAGTAATCAAGTGTTCACCGAAGATAGATAACATTCTCCTCTTCTAAACCATACCTTACACCAACCAAAGTTTGATAAAGCTGTAAAAAGGATAAAGGAGAACTACTGCACTAGAGATGACGTCAGTTCGTGATGAAAACCTTGACTTCGTTTTGCAACAAAATTTCAGAACACCAGCATCTCTAAACACCCAGATCTATGCTTCCTGCATTAGGACTAGTATCATTTTGTGGCAAAAACCACATGGTGATAGCCATAAATCACAACACTAACCCGACTGCTAATAGGCAAACTTGATCTTAATCATTTAATACGTATTGTTGTACACCAGATAAATAGACATATGGGTTAATGATAAAAAACGCTTACTAATCCGTTGCAGTTTTATTGCTTTATAATGCAAATTGTTTTATAACTAGGCCGACAAGTCACCTGACGTTTTCTGTGGGGTATGCCTTTACCAAGTTTTCGGTGAGACTATAACTTATGGACGACCTTAAGGCGACGCCACAGTGACCCTGAGAATGTTCACTCACTCACTAGGAATAAATGTTGGTTATAAGGCAGTGTGGAGAATTAGAATTTCGATTTACAGTTGACGGATAGGGTTAGACTTCGATTTAGTTTTCATCACAAACTGAAATCAGCCAAAGTGCCAAGAGGCCATGAATGCAAATGGGTAAATGAATTTTGCGCCCAAATCCAAGATCTGTTATCTAATACCTGATTGGTTTGTCCACAAATTATAGTCCCACCGAATTTGATGAGGAACGATAAGTAACCTACAGGTGGCGTAGTAAACTGAGAATGATTCTTGAAACAATATAGGAAGTTGAGTATGTTAAAAATTCAAAATTGTCTTGGGCAAAGATCGTCAAACTTATTCGACAAGACCCCACATTGACTACTTTCAGACACAATTCATGATGGGCGGCTAAATGCACAAGGCCCAAACAGCGAATAAGACAAACAATAATACGCATGCCTAGTCAGAGGAATAGAAAACTGTTATAGAGGGAATGAAAGAAAGCGTTTTCAAATTAAAGTTCGTTTTTAGCATTATTGAGTTATGTATACTTCTGGACAGAGGTTAAGATAAATAAAACAAAAAAAGAAACCCATAACCCAATCAACCAACAGAGGGGAAATAAAGGCGAACAAAGGGGAATTGAAGTGGAAAATGCGTTGGAAAATAAAGAGGAGATAAGCGGGAAACTCGCCAAAATGTCTGCTTTTTCGCCTATCCGAGTAAAATGATGCGGGTTTCCCCCTTTTTGTCGCTCTGTCGTTCATATGTCGCTGAATTGTTTACTTTTCGCCTAATTATACGCCGAATTGTCTACGTTTGCCCCAACTTTTAAAACACCATTGGCATAACCACAAAGGTCTCCTATGTTTGCCTCTATCTCCTCAACAAACCACACTAAAACTGCAATCCACGGGAAAAATGGTATATTTTTAAATAAATTTATTGAAAAGAAGAGGAGTATTATTGTGCAACATTATAGCAGAAGCTTGAGCATAAATCGTTATTCGTTTTCATAGTAACTGCCAATTAATTGGTATTTGAAAAGATCTGCAAAAGAATAAACAGGTAATGTATCATTAATATGGTATGTGTATTTAATCGTAAGTTCACTAACAATCAAACACACCTCAACACTTAAATAGTTTACCATGTAAGAAAGTAAGCTCATTTACAAAATAATGTTTATTGAAAAATAAGTAGAACATAAAAAAAACATTTCGCGGTTTACATCCTTTAGCCACGCATGTTCGGCTATTGAGAATGAAAATAATCTTCCTCTGAATTCTGAAGTGTAAAGAACGAAAGACGTTACAACAATATCCGAATGGCATGCTTCGGCACAGCCAAATACTTGAAGCTTCACTGACGGTTATTTATATTAATAGACAACGGGTGAGACTGCTCAAACTGTCCAGGGGGATGTCGATTTCTAATATCTAGAAGACCATTAACAACTTTTAATATCGATGAAGTCCTATTAAATCCTAGCTAAATTATCCATCAGACTGATAAGTGGTTGCCAAACAACATATCGCTCCTCGCCAAGTTTAAGGACAACCGTGATTATCAGTATAGACCACCTATGTTGATGATCTACAATATCAACGCCTCTCTATATTCCTACCTACTGGGGTGGACCTTCGGCTAGCTTAAGGTTTCCTTATGGTTTTTTACCGAACATAAGTTCATACGGTACACGAAGTAACAAGCAGTAGTGCTAATAGATGTATTCATCATTTAATCTCAAACATTCTAAGGTCATCGCTGTCATTCTCTGTCTAAAACGAGCTTTGCTTTAGAGAAAATCAGTGCCATGAGAGCTAATATTATGTGAGCCTAATCAATAATCTTTTTAGTAACTTTCTGTGAATGTTCTGATACTGACAATATATTTTTCGACCAGGTGAATATCACTGCATGGACGGGGATAAGCGGTTGAACCCATTTATAGTCACTCTCCTCTCAGTTGAAAGGCAGCAAATGAAAGACTCGATAACTTTGGTATAACTAAAGTGTACCACTTCGATAATTGTTCTTGTAGTCAAAAATGCTGACCAAATCAGCGTGCATATCAACCTGACTTGTACATGCATCGCATCATATCATTATGCCATTTGAATTCAACAATTATATACAACGCCTTTACGATTTCCCACTAAACCCATCATAGTCTATATTGAAATGCGTAATCTGGTTTATAAATTGAACTATCATATTAAGCCTATAAAGGCATCGAAAGTAGTTGCAATAATAAAGTTATATAATTATGATCTAGTTTGGCCTTAGTACTGCTATAATAATAGACCTGATCCTAAAATTGTAGATTTGTCATGATGTGAATACCTAATTTACGAGATCTTACGCGGAAGTCCCATCATTGTCCACACTAACTCATCGCGTCGTAAGAATCGGAAATATAACATCTTGCACATTTAAGCCGAAGGGAGAATAATATACTTGGTGTGAATAAAGACAAGTTATACAGAATGACTACGTCTGCGAGACTGAGACATGCTATCCGATTAACTGAGTTGAATCTCTCCCGTACCCTTGCTGAACTTCTCTTCGTGTTAATTGCTGAACATGAATCTTCTAAGCAATGATATGCTCAACTTCAAGGGTCGTGTGGTTAGAAATCGACACCATCACAGAGTCACCGCAATTTGATGTTACCTTGCTGCATTGGAATAACAACTTAACGGACGAATCGTCGTTGGCCAAGCAACCGTCTAACACAAGATCTTTTGAGACTACTGCTGGAATAAATACTAGGTGGGCAAGTATTTCTGGACAGTAATTTGCAATATAATAAAACAGCTCGAACCAATTAAAGCCATAAACTTCTGATACTTCCAAATCACCTTAAACAACAATACCCATTTCCGATTGGCTAGTTCCCAATCAACACTGTAACTAGTTATCCATAATGGTTTCTAAATGTCATAATTAAGCGCCGTCGTGACATGACAACATGTAATATGATTAATAAAATTGGTGAAACTATTAGCCGAAACTCTGTCGATAATCTAACTTTTAGTTAGCATTAAATAATGTTGTTTTCTCATGTTTATCTTTATCTGTTATCGATTATTTTGGTATGAGTAGCTGAGCAAATCTCCTGCGAACTGAAAACATTGCTGTCGAACTTGCCACGACACTGACACATGTTCATGCCATTACCATAGACATGAGTTGGGAGTTGTAATGACCTTGGTTACAACTTATGTTCTCCATGGTAATCACATGAGCAGCACCCACATTTTACCATTTCGCAAAGATTCAAGCGAAAGTATCGTACGACACCCCGTCACTTATATTCGCAGTGCATGAGTTCATTTGATCTCAACATCATACAATCACTTTATTTCAAATAAGTCGATTCCTATCTTATGCCAAAGACGATGCATACAACGAACGTGTATGCACCGTCGACTGGTAAGTATGAATATAAATAATAATTTTACTGCATGTCAAACATTAGTTCTAGATCATGTCTCTCAATTACCCACTCATGTTTGAATAGTTTCTGTTAGCCATCTGTTCGAAAATCGCATGGTTATCACTACTTTTGCGTAATATAGGCATTTTGATAATGATTCATGTGTATCAGTATTTTTAGTAAATTCTGTTACAGTTAAACAATAATGAGGTCGAAAAATCTCTCCGTAAACAAATAAACGTTATTAAACCTAACGAGCAAACTGGAACATTGGTCACACATGAATCCATTCAGTTAGCCTACTTATGAACATGGAATTAGATATCAACTCATGTGGACAGCATACCGGCACAAATGTTAACTGACTTTATAATTTAAAACAAATATAACAATATCAACATTTCTATAATGTTGATTAGTTTTCTAAAATACTTATGCCGTCCATATGTTAAGTTCTTAACCAACGGTGATCGCTGCGCATCCTGACGTGACTTCCCAAAATATTCCCGTACTATAAAATTCTTCATTTTGCTTGTCCCACTTTGTTTGACGCTGAAATAATGTTCACGTAGTTTTTCATTCTGAGTGTATCAGAATTAAACTGAACATTTTGAAATTGATTCATGCATTTCCCAATCATTTGTTGCCGCCTTTTATATTTACCTTTCACTTTATCAATACCCGTGGGGATTTTGTTGCTCTGTTGGTAACCTGCGGCACAAGACAACCCCACTCCATTTGGCATCGGACCATCGTCACGTTGATTCTGATAAGTAAGTTGAGTAGTGGCATATGTTCCTAATTATTG